GACAGATAATCAGTGAAAACAATCAATCTCCTCCCCGAACTACTATTGCTAGCTAAAGTAATGCACGTTTCTGACCAAAATCTACCAATCAGTAGGACACTCTTAGCTAGCAATAGTAGTTCGGGGAGGAGATTGATTGTTTTCACTGATTATCTGTCTCAAACTACTACGACACGAAACACAGGTGGGTTTAAATACACAGGGAGACAATCAGGAGAAACAAGGGTCAGCTGGGGACAATCAAAGGGTAGATGTGACAACAAGGAGACTCAACAGAACACAAAAACATAAAAAACCCAAATCACTACAAAGCCCATCTTATCCCCTGATCTTATCTTCCTCAGCAAAGGTTTATAAATCAGCCTCTGTCCTCTTCTGCTCTGCAGTGAGAGGTTTGACTGACAGACCGACCCACCAGGTCAGGTCTAAACGTTTACAGTTAACAATATTCACCCCCACTGTTGCCACTCACTCACTTTCTTGATATATTCAGCGACATCAGACCAAAAAAATTTATATCAGCCAAAATCAAAATGTGCAGGTCAGGCTTTTTAAAGATCGGTAACCAGGGATCGGCCAGAAAACTACAATCTGTGCAGCCCTGCAAACATATTCATGACATTCTTTGATTAAATAAATTTCTCTTCAGCGGTACTTCAATAGCTAAAAATGTAATTTATACCAGGTCAGTCTTTCTCCCCTAGAATGTGGACCGGTACCGGTACTGGACTGATTCTGAGCCTTCAAATGATTTTAACATAAGTTTCACATAATTTAGAAAAATAATATTTGCTTTAGCCACAAAATGATTATGCTCAGCAGCAAACAACAGATCCCCAACTACAGCTTAGAGCAGCTCATCGATGCAGCAGCTATGTAGCCTGACAGAAAACATTTTGCTAGACAATGTCAAACATTGAGAAGTTTTAATTATTGTTATCAAACGTGATCAAGCACGGTGTTTTGAAGTCAAAAATACCTCAGAGATATACAGAGCCAACCAGGAGAATCAACTAATTTAAAGTTTAAACTCAAGTTTCACAAAAAACAAAAAAAAAAAATTAAAAAAATTACATTCATATATTATATTCATATATTTTGAACGCATTTAAAACATTCAGGTACATTTATTTATTTATTTTTTGTTTGTGTCCCTTGTACAAGTTTGTCTCTCATGACCTTTTTCACCTGTTGATAAAGTGCAGACAAACTAAAACCCCTCCACAGAGTGCCTCTACAGCCGCCTGGTGGCCACAAGCGGTACTGTTGCCGACACGGTTGGCACACATAAATAAGGCAAGTCTCTTGATGAAAGTGATTTGACGGGCAGCAGAAGTTCCGGTGCGCCTCCTGTGCGTTTTTCTTTACGCGCACGGCTTTGATGGTGTCACGCAACCTCCCCCCCCCCCCTCAAGAGCGGCGTGTGTGTGCGTGCTCAGTCAGTCTGTCTGTCTGTCTAATAGACTGACCCCCCAGCAAGCGGTTTAAAGAGCGCTGAGTCAACGAATCGCAAGCAGAAGGATGCAACAGTTGATGTGCGCATAAATGTGCAGAGTTTTTCTCGCGTTTGGAGACGCTCTGCTCACAGGGAGGATGGTGGCTGTGATCCATCAGGAGAAAAGGCTCCAATCTTAGGTTGCCTTTTTTTTTTTTTTTTAAAGAAAAATTTAAGAAAACTGCATATTTGTTCCTCCACAAGGCAGTGACTAAAAAAGAAAAAAAAAGAAGAAAAAAAGAGCAAGCGCTGCTTTCTCTACAAATAAATGGGACGTTTTGGACTGAGTGGACTTTCACGCTCTGCTGGAATGGAGTTAATGCATGAATTTCAGATGGTCTGCGGCGGCGAGTGAGCGATCTGCCGAGCGGAGTGCAGCAAACATGCAGCGGATTCTGCAGAAGAGGCGAGTGCGCAAGCTGCGGGTCGTCTGGGCTTCCCTGGCCCTGATGGCTCTGTCTCTGGCCGCCTGCAGCGCGCTGTTCACGGCGTGGACCTGGCGACAGACGCGGGACCTGTCCCAGTCCTTCCAGATCCTGCAGGACCGACTCGAGCAGGTTCGGTGTCTCACTTTTGAAAGTAAACCAGGCAGCGCGTGCGTGCAGGCGTTTGCGCTTTTGCAAAGCGATGATATTCGCTCGGCTGCAACTTTGACAGGCATTTTACGGGTTGTGTAAGATCTTTCTTGGCTGCGGCTTAGTGGGACTTTAACGGGGACGTGGGGTTGTGGAGGGGGGGGGGGTGGTTGCACCTATATGGCTAAACGCGATTCAAACACTTAACTCCAGCGTCTTCCTACTCTGTTGCTGATTTGTGACTTGATTTGATCGTGTAGTGCTTCCCAGGGTTGGATTAAAGCGTGAGCAACACACAAATACACCAGCGGGGTGTCACAGAGGTCAGGTTTATAAATGCGTGTACTTCCTACGCCTCACCTGAACTTAACTGTGTTCATGTTCTTTAAATACAAAAGATGATATGAGAAAATGTAAAAAAAACAATTCACACAAAAATGGGGGAGGACTGATGACTTGTTCAGCTGGAAGTCATCGACACCCTCACGAAGTTGGACAAGGCAACCAAGGACATTGCTGAAAAACAAAACAAAAGCAAAAGCTGGCAGCCGAGAGTGCCGTCTTAGCATCTTGATGGAGAGTTTAGTGGAAGGACAAAGTGTGACAAGTGGGATAATCGCTCCATTCAGAGAGGATTGGAAGCCAAATTCCAACGGGAGTAGATTTGCCAAATGGGGAGTAGTGTGTCCAAGAATGTTATTGGAAAGTTGAGTGGAAGGAAAAAGGTGTCATAGGACTGCAGCCTTGAGAGGATTGTCACAATCAAACCATTGATTGTGAAGGGTTTGGACGCTGTCCTTCACCCCAGACAACGTCCAAGGTGTCTTAGTTTGACAAGAAAAAAGAAGACTTCTGTTCGGAGCTGTTTTCAGATTCAAGCCAATTTTTGCTTTTCATTTGGAAATCCAGATCTGAAAGTCTGGAAGAAGAGAAAGGCACAAGGTGCCTAAAATAATAAATAAACACATTTTAGCTAATACTCTTATGAAGATGCACCTGCATAACACACAAATCCTAGAATATACTGTTGTGGTGGTGAGGTGATGGCAGATGGACGGATCCCCAGATTAGATCCAGTTTCCGTCCAGAAAGCACAGCAGAGTAAATGCAGAATCTCTGCTCATTTCCTTTTTTCTATTTTTTTGTATTTCACCCCCTACTTTCTCCCACCCCCCACCGACTTGCTTAATCGCCCTGGTGCCAGTTATGCTCTAGTTTTATCTCAATTTACTGGAAAGCCTCAGCTATTTGGCAAATGAGCAGAGATGCTGCTGCCGCTGACTGGCTGCGTACGGAGAGCGGCTTCAGGCGCTGAACGGGCTGCAAGTGTAAATCATCCGCAGCCCGCGTCGAAACTCCTCGCACACGGGGGGTGAGCGTGAGCCGATATTTGAGGTACACTTGCAGAAACAGCAATAAATATGTATTTTTTATTTTTTGCTCTCTTTGTTGTGTGCAACACAATTTATTGGCGAAAACGTGAGCCAAGAACCGGAGCCGATGGTAAATTCTTCTGGTTTCGAGTTCAGAGCTTTTACAAAACCGCTGGATTTCATATCAGCGGGGGGGTGAGAGAGGGCTATGAAATTGACTATGTAGCATGTTTACTAAACCTGCACACACACACGCACACACAGATTGGACACGTGGAGTGTTGATGCTGGAGCCCTTCCCCATGGGGCCCCATTCTGTCCGTTTGACTGTTTGCCAACTCCAGATGAGAGCCAGCGAGCGAGCGAGCGAGCGAGCGTCTGGAGAGAGAAGTGTGACTCTCTGCCTCCATTTCAACAGTAGCAGTAAATTTAAACACTCGTTTCTATTCCCCCCCCCCCCCCCTTCTCAACGTCTCTGCTGTGGGGGCCAAGGCTCCAGTGGGGGCCTCAGTGGAGGATTTAAAAAGTCTGCTGGCTTGGAAATCATTTTCTTCCAGACATTTGAGGAATGTAAAGGAGTGAAAACACGCGTTAGGTGTCGCAATCATTCCTCGAGGAAGTGGGCGCTCTAAAGCAAAGATGGCAAGAGCCGAGGCATTTCTCTGGCAGGGACGCACTCTTAAAGGGCCAGTTCAGGATTTTTGAACGTGAGGTTCTGTTTTAAGAGTGTAAGCAGTTTTTTTTTTTTTTTAACCTGCACTATCGCTGTCTTCTTCTTCTTATGGCACAAATCCAGATTAGTTGGAACTGGAGGATATGTTTGCAAAATTTATGTCGAAACCAATAATTGTATTTGATAGAACTTAAACTAGGCTTTGAGATCATAGAGGTTAAATATGAAGAGGTTTAATGCATTTTAAAATAATTAATACTGAATTTGAGGGGGATAGGAGAGATAAGTGCTAAGCTATCAAAGCAACTGAATTTTGCAAGAAGTTTTTATACCAGACCTAAATTTCAAATGTGAAACTAAAGCAAACTAACAGTATACTAAAAGACTACATATTTAAATTTTTATTTTTTGCAATTCCTGGTTCTTTACACTGCTGAGTCAATAACCGTAATAATGCAAGATAAACTAAGTGAGCTTACTAACAATTGTAGAAGTTAAAAGAGGTTAAGTTTACTGACATCATCTTTGGCTACAGGGCTAACAAACATTTATGCTAACGTTTTAAATCAGCTGATTTTTGGCACACAGTGCACCTTTGGCTATTTGTGGTTTGGTATTTGTGGATCCGCCAACTGTTTTGTGGAACGAGGTACCACGGTGTTTGTGGAGAATTTGCCTTTTTTGTGATTTTTTTGTTGTTGTTTTTGAGGATATCCAAATTATTCAATTGGAAATGTAGCTTGAGGGGCTGAAATGCATAACAACAATGCTGGAGTCATTTGTTTTTCCTCGGTGCCGATTGGCTCCTCCTTCACCAGAGGTAAGAGAGCAGAGTGTGTGCTTGTTACAAGTTGGAAAACAAGTAATAGTTGCTAATTGTTTGGTTGCAGCTACTATTAGTGCATTAAAAACTAAACAGATATATATGTTGCATGACTGTCTATCTCTACCAAAACTCAGAAGTGTTAATAAATACTTCATTACATTTACATTTATTTATGCACAGATGCTAAACTGAGTTTTCAGGATACCAACTTCAGTTCTCATACCTGGGATTATAGAAAATCACTTCTAGATACAAACAGAACCCACCACTACTGTCTAACCAAAAAAAAAAACTAGAAAAAAAATATTCATGGCCGTTTAAATCAACACTATTTTATGACTTTTGTTACCAGAAAATCCCTTTGAAAGGAGGAAACATGCTTCTTTTCTCAGCACATGTTTCAAGCAGGAAGATAATTGGCGGCGCACCGCCTCCCACCTCCATTTCCTGTATCAGTAATCACTAGTTTCTGTGTAAAATAACCAGGCCTTGATGTTTTTAAGACTGAAAAAAAAACTTCAAGGCATTTAAAGTCCGCTTTGGCGAGACTAGCTGTTAGTCTCCAAATCTGAATATTAATCCGGATTATAATGCTCTGAATAAAGGCTTTCACAGACTAATTGGAGACCATTTAATTGTGTCATTTCTCTGTTTGTTTGCTTGTTTTTTTTTTCGGACAGGTCAACACGCAGAGGAAGGCGATTGTTCAGCTCATTCTGGAGAAGAGAGAGCTGCTTCTGGAGCGAGTGAAGCGAGACGGTAATACAAACCTGCCAGAGCTGCTTTGTCTCAACTTCGGCGCCCCCCCAACTTGCGCTTTTCAGTCGCTCCGATCGCCACAGACAGACACAACACACACATACCAGGCGAACTCACTTGTTTTTTTAGGAAGAGCATTTAACACAAACGCTGGCCAGCCTCGGCCCACATGCCACTTTGGTCAGGCCCTGCAGGCCGCATGAGCTACCGCTGCTAAAAGTTGACACAGGAAGAAGTAGGCAGCTGGATTACCCTCTCAGAAATTACAGGTCTGACCAGAGCGGTCTCGAAGCCCAGAAAGCCAGCTGGCGAGGGGTGGGAGGGGGGCGGAGGTGGAGAGAGAGGTTTTGCTGCACGCTTTTGGTTCAGTGAAATAGATTTTTTTTTTCTCGCCCCCCACTCCTTGTCTCTGAGCAAACGTCCAACGCAGCTACGATTTCGTTGTGAAAGCGGTGATATTTGATGAGCTTTCATTGCTGTATTTATAGCATCTGCTTGCATCACCATCATGGGACTGCTGTTTCTGTCCGAGAGTAAACTTTAGGTCTGTTTTTTGTTGTTTTTTTTCTCTCTCTCTCTCTCTCTCTCTCTTTGGGGATTCTCTATCCAAATGTGACAAGACATTATTTGAAGAACAGCATGTCCAGCTCAAATTTACCCTATGCGTGAGATGCTAAGAGGTACCGTGCAGAATTTCATGGATATCAATAAGGGGGAAAAAAAAAAAAAAAAAAATGCCCAAACAGCTTTTTCCAGTTTATGGAAACTTGACCGCAGCCGTCCAGCTTTTTTGGAAAGACACTGCTGTAATGTTCTCTCCTTGTGACTGACAGCGCAAGTCAGGAAAGCCTGGCCACCCTGAGGGCTTTATGCTCCACTCCCCACCCCCCACCTTCGCAAAAATCCTAAAATCTTTCAGGGTCGCCCACCTGAGAGTTAATTTAGCAATGGGTTGTAGTATTTCTGAATAATGGCAGCAGTCAGGTGGGCTGGCCGCTGCCTCCTGAAACATAAACTACGTCTTCCAAACACTGCTCAGGTTGTATCAGTGTTTGAAATCCCCTCAGGCTAAAACAAACCTTCGCTGAGCAGCGAGAGGGAACGTTCTTCGGCCGTGTTGTTACTTTGTCATATTTGTCTGGAAAGGCGGCCGTAGCTGTTGCTAAACTCTGTTCTTAATCTACTGTTTTGGGTCACGGAGCAGCCAAAGACCTTTTCGACTCTCTTTTTCCAGTGCTTCATTTTTCTCATTTAGCCTTCGAGCCCCTTAGCTGCGCCTCCGAATGCCTGTCTTTAATGCTTTCTTATTCACTTTTCCACTGTCCATCTTGTTTTTATTGCCTCCCCCCTTCACTCTCCCTGCAGACACACAAACCCCACCGTCCTCCATCCTTTCTCTCTGGTCTCTATCTTCGAGATGACTGCGACCAGCTGGCACTAAAATTAGCCCACAGCGGGCCTAAAAGGAAAATAAAAGAGACACGCACTTTTCTGACTTACAATAACAGTTTGAGGAAATATATTGAAAGATGTGAAAGGGAACCCTTAAGCCCATCTGCTAACCGCGTTAAAAACCGGCCGGGCCGCATATAAACGGCACCAAATTAACCCACCGTATTATTAGCGCGATACAGATGGTAGTGATTGTTTTATCAAAAAAAAAAAGAAAAAAGAAAGAAAAAACGTCAGCCGAAGTAATTTTCTGATTTCAAACTCTCATTCTGCCTGTCTTTGTGTCTGAAGGGGGCTCGGTGAAAGGGAAAACCGGGAATGGAAGGAAAGCGGCGTCTCATTTTGAGAGTAAGTGGCTTGGCAGATCCCCTCTTACGGTCTCGTGTAGCATCTGCTGAAGTGGTTTTGAATCAAATACCCCTATACGGTTGCACTCGTAAAATCTTAATTGACTTTCCCCTTTTTCTGTCTCCGTCATTGTCTCCCACTTTCCACCAGTAACCAAACTCTCCTCTCAGCAAGGTACGAGTCGTTGAGATGTTTTATTATTATTATTATTATTATTATTATTATTATTATTATTATTATTAAAAAATGTTTCTTAACACTTTGCAAGCTGGCAAGAAAGAGCATTGATTTGTGTTGGTTTCAGTCGGAGAAGGGGGCGTGATAAAAGGCTGGGAGGAGAGGACGCTCAATATGACTAAAGCGGTGAGGTACAACAGGGAGGAAGGTACCTTCACGGTGCAGAGAGCAGGAGTCTACTTCCTGTACTGTCAGGTGAGCTTCACAAAGTCTGTAACCTGTAAATATCTGCTTCATTTAAAACGGCACCAATACCTTTTAACGTCACTACAAAGCTTGGAAAAAGAGTAAACATTTGTAATAATTGAGCAGAGAAACATATTTTGGAGCCCTTCTGTCTGAGTAAAGCTCAACTGCTCACTTGTGGCCAATTTATGGTTATTAGCATTATTTTTGTGTCCAGTTTGAACAGTAAACTCGTTGGAAAGGCTGTGAACGGGACACTAAAAAACATATGTAATTGCTTTTATTGTACCCTCAAAGAACCAATAACGTGGAGCGTTTTGGCGAATTACGGTTGGCGAAAAGGAAAAGCATACAAGAGCTCAAACTCTGGTTAAAATGCAGCTTAATTGTTTAGCTTTTTTTCCGTTTGTTCTTTGTTTTGGACCAGATTTGCAGCAGAGTATCAGTAGGTTTCCGAGTATTTCTTTGAATCTGTTGATCGTTAAAGTTGGTACAAGACGTCCCCAAGGCAGGTACGGACTTATGCAGGGTTGGTACAAAATGTTCAGCGGCAGACAACTACTGTCTTCACCCCCAAAAAATAGCCACGAAAAGACCAAACATTCAGTCATGTGAAACGGCGTATGGATAAAGTCGTGTGATGCCCCCTCTAGTCAGGATATAAAATACCTAAAGTTAGTGAATTCACAATACAATTGAACTTTACCATATTAGGGTAAAGCTAAGAATTTCAAACCATTTGGCTGAACCTTCAAAGTAGAGCTGCACTATGCCGCAAATTACAATGATCAAATTACAGCAATTCCAAAAGACTACCTGGTCTGTGTATGTAGTGGCTCAGATGCTAAAGTTAACTGACTGTGCTATAATAAAGAGAAGAGTTATGGAAATGTGGCTTCATTGTAATCAAAATCAGCTTCGAAGTCCAATGAGGTCAACAAATCCAACTAATCAGTCACAGAAATTCACTTCAAGTTGCATCAAATCTAAGTAAAAAAAAAACAAACAAAAAAAAAAACAGTTCAGTCCAAGAACAGACGCTACATCCACAGGTAGCAAATACTTACTGGCCACAAATATAAATTTTTTTTTGTTGAGAATCACGCGGCTACTTAGAGCTGTGGTGATTCACAATTGCTTAGTTTTTAAATAATGTAAACTGTAAAAGAAATGCAGGTTGAATTCCTGTAGCATGCTAACTTTGCTAACGTTGCTAACAGCACATTCTTGTAGTAGACAAGAGGCACTTAAAAACAAACATGAAAGCGTATTCATTCCCTAATCTCCTTCTTGATTTTCTCATTAAATATTTTTAAGCTTCAACCAAGTGGAACAGAAATGAAGAGCAGCTGTTAGCATGCTAATAGCTAGGTTAGAAGGATTTTGGCTGCCTTTCAGAAAGATTAGAAACAGCAAAACAAAGATAAAATGCAACATGCTCATGTTATGGTTATATTTAACCGCCTAGTAGTGAAAGAGAGTCGTTCAAACTTTTATGTCCGTTTCCTTTCTTTGGCTTCTTTTGAGGCGAGAGAGAGGATGTATGGATTGAATCCCTGCCAAGATCAGGCTCCTGACAGAATGCACAGCTACAAATCAGCATCAGATTTCTGTTTTGATGGCGAAGACACTGACCTTCAGCGTTTGTGGTGAAGGGCACAGCCATGCAGAACCGGTCAAAGATAAGGGTCCAGATCTTGTCAACATTAAGCTGTTGTTGATATTTACAGTCTTTAAATTTAATGCAGACGTTCACTCTGGAATAAAACGTCTTTAATCACTCTTAATTAAGCTGTCAGGTGTTTTGACAGGTTATGAACATTCCTGCCAAGCGGATAATTATCAATAATTAACTCTAAATGAATTCTCAAAAAGGTTAGTTTGAACAACCCCTCATCTGTCAAGAGTTCAGGATAATGTGCTTCATTCTGTTTAAAGTTATGACCTAAACATTTACAGAAATCTCAATTAAAAGTTATTCAAAATCTGTGTAATTTGTGTGATTAATATTCCTGATTATTCGTAGAACTATCTCTTTGTATTTCCGCAGAGCTGCTCTTTCATTAACGCACCCGTCGTCTTTCTGCCCTCCTCAGGTGCTGTTCAACGAGCAGCAGTCTCAGTACGTGAAGCTGGACGTGGTGACCAAAGGGCCCCGGCCCCAGAAGCTGCAGTGCATGGAGGGCTACGGGACCACGCCCTCCGCTGGGCCGCACTCCTTCCACTTCGTGAAGCCCTGCCAGGTGTCCGGCCTGCTGCGGCTGGAGAGGGGCACAGAACTCCAGGCCAAGACGGGCCCGTCCTTCAGCCTCCACCCGGTGGCCAATCACGTTTTCAGCATCTTCAAAGTCAACTGAGGATCGGCGCTCGTCTGAGCTCGGTCGCAAACTATCCTCGCGTCACACAAATCCAGCAGGATTACTGCAGAATGTAACTGTTTGCATTAAAAATGGATAATATAATTTTTTTTTCTTCTTCTTCTTCTACAAGGCCAAACGAAAGGCTACAGCTATTTCCCACATGTGCTCATATGAGAGACAAAGCTGACATTTGTGGAAGCTGTAGAGGATTTTTCTTTTTTTTTTTTTTTTTCCTTCTCTGGACTGCAGCCTGTTTTGGAATTCAGTTTTGGATTAAAACCAAGACCTACAGTGAACAAAAAAAAAAAACCAAATAAAAAAAAACCTTGATGAACTTCTGCCGAGAGAACAGATGTGACGGAGGCCGGTCTGTGGATTAAAGAGCTTCACAGAATAAGAAAATTCCTCGGAGGTCCATCTTAGCCCCCGTATAACGCAATAAAGTTATTGTCTGAACTCTCTGCAAGCTCACATTTAAGATGTGCACCTTCCACAGACGAGAGCACATCTGCGAGAGTCTGACTCTATAAACGCTTTCTCCAGTTGGCATTGACCGTTTAAATAATGCTGCCTTTGTGTGATGGTTTTCATGTGTGAACTAACTCTGATGAATCCAAAACTTTGTGCTGATTTTATGATCTCGTCGATGCGAGGCGTCTGTGTGAAGTTGCTCTTTTTTTTTTTTTTTTTTTTTTTT